CTGGCGCTAGCTCTGCGAGACCGGAGCCGCGGAGGCGGGCTCGGCCTGTCCTGAGGGACCCCGCGGGAGGCGTGCCCGGGAGAGTGCGTCCGCACTTGGCCAAGAATGATGGCTGCCATTTAATGGAGCCTTCGCTAAGTGCCAGGATCTTGACAGTCAGAATCTCTGGTCATTACAACCTTCCACAGTCTTGCTGTACCCTTTTTATGGATGGAGAAAATGAGCCAACTCAGAGAGGACCATTTACTTGCCGAAACCCACGAAAGTAGTCGGAATTTGAATCCACCACTGATTCCAAGTTTCTGACCTATTTTCTCTGACTTGGACTTGGAGGGACTGGGTTCCTAACCTGCCCTTGCCTAATGGAGTCACGTTCTCCACGGCTTGAGGCCTTCTCGGCCTTCCCTCTCTGTAAGGTGACACAGGCAGATTCTAACCAGAAGTCTTTGATACATAGTAGGTGCTCTGGAAATGTTGGTTGAATCTGAACATCAACTTTGATGTTTGTTGACATTTAAGCAAAGGGGGAAGAAGGAGATAAATAAAGTGAAGGTAATGTGGCAGAGGCTAGTTCCTCACTCCGGACCCTGACCTGTGAGAACCTCCAAACCCAGTTTGAGGCTGAGTCAGGTGTTTAGCTTTTGGCTTCCTTAATCTGAACAATTACTTCTAGAGATCATTTACCCTTCACAGAAGGGCATTTCCTGACCACCTCCCCCATCTTGCCCCAGGGTCTTCTCTTCCACTAATATCCTAGGATTAATTTCATGGCTGGACTTGCCCTTGTGATACAGGCATCTATCAAATCTAGCTCCCTTGTTTGAAAGAAAGGACAGTTTTTATTATCTGACTTCATTAGGGAAATTATTGAACATACAAAAAACTGAAGAAATCATATAAGGAGCCCTCAAATACTCATCTCTCAGCTATAAAAATTAAAGTTACTATTTTTGTTTCATCTTTCTCCCCCATTCCCAACTCACTGACATATACTAGTAAGGACAGTTTTACTCATTGTTGCAACTCAGAAACACAGTATGGGACCTGACACATGGTGAGCATTCAAAAATGTTGGCTTATGGAATGGACGATATGTAGGCGATGTGTGGATGGATTGATGATTGCATCATTAGTGGTACTTTGGGAATAATACCCTGTGCTGCTACTCAATCAAACACCCCTAGTCTGGGGGAGAAACGTAATCTCAGTTTTTCCCTTGCCTCCAACTGAAACACTTTGAAGCACTTAAAATCTTATCTACCCATAAGAATTTTATCTTAAAATCAAAATGTGTCAGTAGTGTGCCCCTGGTGTTTGGAAAGAAGGGAAAATAATAGCCCTCTCCCTGTTGTTGTCCCTTCTTAACTCCCTCTCCTGAAACAGTCTGGCATGAATTCCTTGACCCTCTCAACACAAAATAAACAGTGAAAACTTTCATATGCTTAGAAGCTTCCCCTAGGAATCATTATTTTACTGCATGGATTTCCCATGGGCATTTGGCTCCTTACCCTGGGAAATCTTTGTAATCTACCCCCCACCTAGCAATCCAACTTTTTCTCCTTAACCTCTTGCCGCAGTTAGCCTCCTTTACTAATATGGAATTCCCAGGTTCTTCGTCTTCAGATACTCACCTCTACAGTCCTTAGAGTATGGGCTCCTATACAAAGCCCCTTCAAATTCCCCTGGCAAAAGGTGATCTTTTGGCTTTTTAATGCCCTTAGCACTTAATTTTTATTATCTTATCTTAACATTTATTGGCATGCATTTGAATATGTCACACAGAATAGTCTTGTTGCCTCATCCTCACCTTTTCCTCCTGGTCCCCTTCTTCCATTCCAGAATTAGTCTTTAAGCAGACTAAGGTCAGCTCATCATGATGGGCTTAAACTGTAACCCACTGTGTTCTATACAGTGCTTGAATTTCGCACTTGGTGCTGGTTAATATAGCAGATAGGCACACATTCTCATTGAATAATGTGAGTTCTAGTTGATACTGTTCCTAAGGGACATTTTATCTTTACCTAGCTAATGATTCCCTGGGACCAAGAACAATCTGCATGGAACAGAAATTAAAGAAGACCAGAGGCTCCCCAAATTGGTCCCAGCCTAGAACCTCAGCCTAGCAAGAAGGGGTAAATTCAGGTTCCTGAGGAAGTTTTGTATAGCTATCCAGGGAAATGGGGTTGAAATGTGGCTGGAGAAAGGTGAATGAATTATAAACCATTTTAAGCATACGGTGCTATATCCTCCAAGTACAAAACTAAGTCTTCACTGCTGCTTTTGTGGGTTACCAGGTATTTAAAAGTTGACCCTTTTTCTTGGGTTACATTCAAGGGTTTCTCAAAGATTCCTTAACTGCTTGTGTTCCCTCTGAAAGCCCTGATTTTCAGCATTCTGCAAGGAGTCCCTCACTGTTGGTATCCATTTGTGCTTTTGGGCAAATCCCTTTAATATAGCTCATGGCTGGCTTTCTCTCCCTACATTTGCTCTGCCAGAAATACACAAATGTCCTTTGCCTGTACATACGCTAGTGCAGGCATTTTCTAACCAGCCTTCTGTCCTTGCCCACCATGAATACACTCTGTAAGTCACAATTCTCCACCTTAAAAGTTCAACAGTCTGAATCAGAGACCAGTTCCTCAGGTCCATCCAAACTGCAGAGGACAAATGTCAAATGCTCAGGTCAGTGACCCTCTCAAAGTTCTTTTCACAAGGTTTGAAGTGAGGAATAAAATTTATTTGATGAAAGGCAGAGACACAATCATTTGCAAAGCAGTTTTTTTGTTGTTTTTACTTTTGTTTTGTTTTGTTTCACACGGAGTTTTGCTCTGTCACCCAGGCTGGAGTGCAGTGGCGCCATCTCAGCTCACTGCAATCTCCACCTCCTGGATTCAAGCAGTTCTCCTGCCTCAGCCTCGTGAGTAGCTGGGGTTACAGGCGTGTGGCTCCACACCTAGCTAATTTTTTTTTTTGTTTTTAGTAGAGATGGGGTTTCGTCATGTTGGTCAGTCTGGTCTCAAACTCCTGGCCTCAAGTGATCCACCCACCTTGGCCTCCCAAAGTGCTGGGATTACAGGCATGAGCCACATAGCCTGGCAGCAGAACAGATTTTTTTAATGAGAGTGAAGAATGGCTAGGAGCAGAGGCAGGATGTTGACCCATCAGAAACTATGGTCCTGGCTGGGCATGGTAGCTCACACCTGTAATCCCAGCACTTTGAGAGGGCCCAGGTGGTTGGATCACTTGAGGCCAGGAGTTCAAGACCAGCCTGGCCAACGTAGCAAACAAAAAATTCGCTGGGTATGGTGGTGCATGGCTGTAGTCCCAGCTGCTTGGGAGACTGAGGCAGAAGAATCGCTTGAGCCTGGGAAGTGGAGGTTGCAGTGAGCCGAGATTGCCCCACTGCACTCCAGCCTGGGTAACAGAGACTCTGTCTCAAAAAAAGAAAGAAAGAAGAAAAGAAAAGGCAGGGCAAGGACAAGGGCAGGGCAGGGCAGTGCAGGGAAGGGAAGGAGGTGGTCCTACTATTCCTATTCCTATTTTACAGATTAGTAGGTAGGGCTCCAGAGGTGAAGTTGCTAGTCCCAGGCCATTGAGTTAGCGACTAGCAAAGCTAAAATCAAACCTTGAATCTCTCTGACTCCCAAACTTAGGCTTATTATTGTTGTCAATGTGTTACATGTATTAATTATCATTTACATAACACATAAAAGTGAGCCTTTGAAGACAGGTCTGGTATAAGAGAAGCAAAACTCCTGACAGCTCACTCTGGCATTGCAGCACAATTACACTCAAGTGGAAAGAAACAATTCTCAGTGTAGTGCCTGTAGGTGAATTAATTAAAAGTTGCTAGCTTTCCTCATGGGATTGTTGCTTGTCCAGGTGTATATATTATTGTGTTTTGTTAACAGATTGTCTATAGGCAGTTTGCTTACTTTCCGTTTTTCTTACATCCCCATTATATTTCAATGTATTTGTCTCATGCCTACTTCTAAATCAAAAAAGAAAAATTTCCCCTTTATTTTAAACTCCCCAAAAAAGGAAAGATGATAATGACTTGGGAAGGGGGGGGTCAGAAGAGAGAAAAGAGAAATGGAAGAGTAATTCGGGGGTGTTTACTCAAATTGGATTTTTAATACAGCGTTCATGCTTACAGAGATATAAAAAATACAGACATTAAGACTCTCAAGCAGCACTGGCCAATAGTTTTATATTGCTTGCCAGATAGGTACTTCTAAATTTTCTAGTATTAAAGAAGTAAAAAGAAATAGATGAAAGTAATTTTAATGTACATTTGCTTAACCCAGTATAACCAAATATTACCATTTCAATAGGTGATCAATACCAAAAAAAGTATTAGTGAGATACTTTACTTTCTTTTTTATCTTAAGTAGTCTAAATCTTCTGTGAATTTCATACCTATACCATCATTTCAGACCAGCCACATTTTACATTTCATGTGTGCAATAGTCACATGTGGCTAGTGGCTAACATGTTGGTCAGCTCAGCTCTGAAGGAATGTTTCAGTCCTAATGAACCTGTAACATGTGGGTTTTTAATAAGGACACTGAGGAAGGAGGTGGGTTTCCAAATTAAAAGAACAAAAAGTAATGAGAGAAGTAAAACAAGAGAGGCTATGCATGGTGGCTCACGCCTGTAATCCCAGCACTTTGGGAGGCCAAGGCGGGCAGATTGCCTGAGGTTAGGAGTTCAAGTTCAGCCTGGCCAACATGGTGAAACCCCGTCTCTACTAAAAATACAAAACTTAGTCAGGCATAGTGGTGCACATCTGTAATTCCAGCTACTCAGGAGGCTGAGGCAAGATAATTGCTTGAACCCGGGAGGTGGAGGTTGCAATGGGCTGAGATTGCACCACTGCATTCCAGCCTGGGTGACAGAGCAAGACTCCATTTCAAAAAAAAAAAAAGAAAGAAAGAAAGAAAGAAAACAAGAGAAAGGTAAACAGGAAGAGTAAAGGCAACTTGGGGAAGACAGTAGATACCTAAACAGTGCTTAGTTGCTAAACAGATGGAAACTTCAGGGGGCAAAGGACACAAAAAGGAAAATCTGGGGTTTTAAAATCAGAGGATAAAATAAGAGAGTTTTAAATTACAAAGCTGAACCAATGACAAGGCTAAAGATTTAACCTCATTCACTAGCAAAATGGTGTTTGCTACATTTACAAAAAGAAGGCTGACTGGTTGGTTTCTGGAGAACAAAGGGGGCCACACAAACTTAGGTCACTGTTAATATCATGGTCACATACTTAGCTTCTCAACACCAGAATCTTATTTTGTCAGCTTACCCAGAGTGGTTCAAGCTCTACAAGGCAGACAAATGCTCAACACACTGGTTTCTCAATATAAAGAAATATCCCTTTCCAGAGACTGAAATACGTATATCCTCTTATTCAGATCACCTTCTTTCTAAAGTTTGTTGTAAAACAAAGTTGGCAAGCAGAAATTTGGTGACCATGAAATTACAGCAAAGGGAATTGAATAATCTCCAACGAGCAGTCACGCAGGCTGTCCCACGGTGGAACTTATCTCCCTTATGACACAAATAGGATAGATGTCACACTGTGGCCCATCGGTCCCATTGGTGGATATACAGACAGGTTATTATTGTTCAATGCCTTTATTATTTACTTCATACCAGAGGTTCTTGGTGGCCCACAAATATTTGTTCGGATTGCTTTGGGCTTGCACAGTCACTTCTGGACTTTCTAGGAAAGTCTGCCTACACTGGGTCCACCTTTTCCAAGGACATCAATCTGTTGCAGCTGAGAAGGGTCTGCCACTTTGAGTGTGCTATGTTGTCACAGCCCCAACTGACCAGCTTCACTCAGAGGGCTGGCTAACCTGTTGAGAGCATACATCTTGAAAGAGTGAGATCCCTACTATATGGAGAACTCTGCTAACCAAGCCTGGCTTCAGACTTTCCTGTTGGGAAAGGAGCAAGAGAGAGATTACTTTTCAGTTACACAATAATTGATTAGGTTACTACTTTTTTTTTTGTTAACCAGTTAAGGATCCAGTATTTATCATCAATTAGTTTCAGATTGTAACTAACCTGTTAGGATGGGTTACATCTGATGAAAATTATAATCTGATAACTATTCATTATGAGATATTTCAGTTCTCAGAGAAGTATTTTTCTCCGAGTTCTAGGGACATCGTCTTATACTTTCTTATCTACCTGCTGCAGTCACACAGAGCAAGAAAACGTGGAAAATATATTAGATGGCAGAATCTGGATAGTAAACAAAATATCCTGACAGATTAAAATGATGAACTAAATGTAACAGGGTCAAATTTTATATAAGAATAAATTTTCCCCCTATCTACTGGATGTATCTAAGACTGTTTGGTACCTACTGTTTGCTAAATCTGAAGTTTAAATTCTAAGCAATAAAAAATAAACGCTGCCAACACTTTGCTCTCAGTAGCATTTGGGGAATAGTAGTGCACAAATCAATTACATGAATCCTTTATATAATAGTATTTTTTATTAGTATTGTTAAAACATTGCCCAACATTCTCACCACTATGCCTCTTCCCAGGGCTGTTAACAAATAGGAGAGAAAGGAAAACACCTCTTGGCTACAGTTGTGGTATGCAGAACTGCAGAGTGAATATAAAAATTGTCTCGGAGAGGATGTTGCAAATCAAGATGGAGAAATGTGTCAGATCAGCAAAGGAGCCTGGAGAAGTTAGGGTCTCCTGACCCCTGGAACCTCAGCCACCTGGTTCAGTTTTGCTAACAGGAAGCAGGGGCCAGCTGGGGGTGTGTGGTGATGAGCAAAATAGACATTAAGTTCAAGATGGGGCATCTTGAGTATGAAGAGACAAAGGGAGTCCTTTCTGAGCAGTAGTAAATGGAGGCTATAGAGGCTGTGACAGCTAGACTGAAACAAGATGAGAGTAGAGACTGGCTGAGTAAGGATGAGAGCAGAGAGGAAGAAGAGCTGGGAACCAAGTTGTCAAGACGGATCAAGGCTTGTGTGTAGGAGGCAGGCAACTGGCTTGCCCTGCAGAATGGTAGGCTTTTTGCCCATTGCCAAGGTACATAATGAATGCGAGGACCCCCTAGTAGATGACAGCACCAACAGTGGATGGGGGGAGGTAGGGCAGAATAGCTGAATGGCATAAGATCAAAGGAGAATGGTTTTAACAAGACAGTGAAATATAATGTGGGGGAGTGAAGCAGACACTGTGGCAGACACTGCTTGTTCTCTGCCCGATATCTTTATCTTTATCCCTTTTCTTCCTTAGTAACGAAATCCTGAATTTGTTCTGGGGTACAATATGCCAGCTAAATATACCTACCTTCCTAGATTACCTTACATCTAGGGATGCCATGTGGCACACTTCTAGCCAATGAGACATAAGCTTAACTTCTCTAGGGATTCTGATAATGTTTTTCTTTCCTGATGCAGGCAACACCCTTTAACTCCTTTTCTCTTCTCACCTGGAATTTAGACATGAAGTCTAGACTACAATGTCCATATCGTGACCAAGAGGTTAGAAATATGGGGCTGGGCATGGTGGCTCACGCCTGTAATCCCAGCACTTTGGGAGACGGAGGTGGGCGGGTCACGAGGTCAGGAGATCGAGACCATCCTGGCTAACACGGTGAAACCCCGTCTCTACTAAAAATAAAAAATTAGTTCAGCATGGTAGCAGGCACCTGTGGTCTCGGCTACTCGGGAGGCTGAGGCAGGAGAATGGCGTGAACCCGGGAGGCAGAGCGGTGAGTGGAGATAGCGCCACTGCACTCCAGCAAGGGCTACAGAGCAAGACTCCACCTGAAAAAAAAAAAAAGAAAAAGAAAAGAAAAGAAGTATGGTATGAGGAAAAGGCAAGACAACCCCAGAGATGTGAGTCCTGATTTCAACTGGCCACTGAACCAATACTAACAACTGTCTATAACCAGGTATCTGCTTATGTGAACAATGAGCCCTACTTAATGAAACCAGTGTTAGTGACTTTTCTATTGTTCTGATCTATTAGTGACTTTTCTATTGTTCTGATCTATTATATTCCTCATAGATATTAACCCACCTTGTTGAACTGACATACAAAGGTAAGAGGGGTGCAGGAAAAGCAGTGCTCCAAGGGAAGAGGCCAGCTTTCCCAAGATAGGAAGAATGAGGTGAGAGTGTTAGAAAAGAAACTGTACAGGTATGACAGTTTGCTAGCTATGGAGAAAGGATTCAACAGGCCAGAGTGGAAGAGAATGAGAAGGAGAGAAGAGATGGAAGCCTGGGGCAGAAAGATGTACAAAGCTTCATGAGGATGATAGCACGGAAGTGGATCAGTTGACTACGTGGGCATAGGGGTAGAGGCTACACTTTGAACCTAGACCAGCATGAACAGAAGTGAGATCCATGGAAGATTTGGTCTCCAAGTCTCTTTGAGGTCAGAAACCTTGTTATCTTCCCAGAGGGATTACCAGGTTGCACCAGTGGGACCATCATCTTTCCACATCCTTGGTTAGGAAAAAAAGGAGAGATGTCATCCCTTTTGGCTCTCTAGAGAATCCACGTGCAGGTTTAAAGCTGAATAACGAAGCCTGGCAATTTCTCTGGATTCCCTTTAAATCTCTCTGGAGTCAGAAATAGAAGCAACCTGAAGGAGGCAGAGAGGAACTTAAGGCCACAGGGCCTGCTAGGGCAGGGTGATGGAGGCATTTTGCTCTCTTTTCTGGTAATTGGCCCACAAGGGCTGTTGTCTCCCCAAGGAGGCTACTGTTCCCCTCCCTAAGTCCTTAGTCCCAAAGCAGAGTGACAGCCGTGAGCCTGCTAGATCATCCATGTTGCCATAGCAACAGGCTTGCCCTTGGAGCAGTGGGTTCATGACAAAATGATCAGCCCTCTCTTAAAGGTTGTTGCTGTGTGTTGGACCAAGAATGCAGGCCAGGTGGGTGGGTCTGAAGGCCTGGAGCCAAGAATATTCAGGGTAGGAATTTTATCCCACATGGTGAAAAACCTGAAAAGTCTGAGAATGAGTACAAGCTAAATCCAACCAGCCAAGGGCCAAAACAGAAGAAACACTATTCAATCATCAAGTCTGAGGGACATCCCCAAGATGAATTTGGTGGGGGAAGGTAGGGAGTGGAGGTGAGAGTAAAAGAAGAAGCCAGAGCAAGAGGGGCTGGAGTGTCTGTGATTGTTTTCTTAGACTGCTGGCTACATGTTGTGTTAGCTGAGCAGCATTAATAATACTCAGGGACTCTGGGTGGACACTAGCTGACCCCAACCCTGTTAAGCCATGGATAGTTTGCTTCCAACACCCATTCTTGCTCAATGAAAACCAATTCTGATGGTGTTCTAGGACTCCATCCTCACTTCTTCTTCAGTCCTTTCTCTTGGATGAAGTTCTCAGCATCTCTCTATGGGCCCGTGAAACTGCGGATACCATCCAGGATACCTGACCAGTTTCTACAACCAGACATATTCCTAGATTCTCCTGTAGTTCTTAACTAAGATCAATCCACAGCTCTCTAGGCTGGGACCTAGTGGAATATAAGCTCCATCTGGGAAGGGTCTTTGACTGAGAGTTTATCACTGTATTCCTAACACATAACACAAGTCTGTCACATAGCAGGAGTTTAATACATATTTATTAAACGAATAATTTAACAAGAGTGCTTGACAACTTTCATATCCCTCACCTACTCCAGGTTATTGGACTCTTCTGTGGGCACCTGCCATAGTCATAGTCCTGCTTCTTCCAGGATGGACCCTCTTAGATCCAAGACCTTCTACCCACTTGTCACTGAAAGCTTCTGTGACCAGAGACTCCTCGTTATACACCTGGGTGTGCCCATGGACATCAGTGCCAGCCTGGACTAGAACAAAGGTTTCACATGTTCCTTTAGCTACTGCAGTAGTAGCTTTTTTATACCCTTCTTGGTGACAACAGCATTAGTCCCCTGACCCAGACCTTGGGTCTCAGCCTACTTCCTTCTTGTCATCCTTTACAGGCAGCTCTATGAGAGTTGTGGTGATATTGTAGATGGCCTTGAGGGTCTCCCTGCTACAACAGCCTAGGAGTAAAAGGTAGGATTATAATAATGTAATTTCACTCTGATTCACAATTGAAAAAGTGTAAAGCTTCTCTCCTAATACGCTAATATATATATATAAATATATATATATATCTGTTTTTAATTTTCTAAGAGCACTTACTGCTATTTGAAATTGCTTGTATATTTGTTATCTGGCTTTTTGTCGGTTTCTGTCATTGGAATATAAGCTTTTTGGTGTCAATAATGTCTGTTTCATTTACTACCTAAACAGTAAATGTCCAGTAACTATTAAGTGGATGAATTAATTACTCTGGATTAATCAGGGTCAGGGTAGGCCCTCTGTGTACCTACGAACCCAGATCTCTGACTGCATTGTGAAATGCTTATTTTCCTCTTCACTTGTTCCATCTTTCCTTGGGCACAGGTCCAGTCATTGCCTCTGATGTCAACACACTGCCAAGACACTTGGTGCTTCATCTTACATCTTACCCCCAGCGTCATCTTATATCTACCCATACCAGAGAACCGAGTTCTCTGACTGCATTGTGGAAGGCCCATTTTCCTCTTCACTTGCTCCATCTTTCCATGGGCACAGGTGCAGCCACTGCCTCAGGCATTCACCACACTGCCAAGGCCCTGGTGTTTCCTTTGCTATCAAAGCCCTCAGTGTCATCTTCCACCTGTATCTGCCCAAACCACACTGCACCAAGGAGCCTGTTGAGCTGGACCCAAGCCTGCATTTCCAACCCTGATAACATACCAGTGTGGAGATGTCCAGCCAGCTCCCCACTGAAGAGGAGGCAATCTCTTTCCCCTACACTTTGTATTACCCACATCCCAAAACAAGGCTGCCTTGAACTTCCAGATATTTTTTTTTGTAAAAAGAACCTTTGGATCTTTGCAGTCAACTCCCTTGCTTAGGAATCTGGTATTAGCCCATCTCAATAATAAGCAGAATGCTATACCCAGGCATCGGTATTAGATTAAGCTCGCATGCAGTGTGTTTTTCCCAATCTTTTATCCCCAAGGTCCCTCGATTTCTCTTCTTAGAGTCCCTAGGAAAGCCTCTGCCACTGCCTGTTCCCACAGCATGACTTGATGTGTCTAAATTCTCCTATGGGCACATTTAGAGCAGCAGCCAGAATGGCCATAACGCAAGGAGTCTGGAGTTTACCCTGTGGGTGACAAGGAACAAATGGAGACCTTGGATAAGGAGATTTTCTTGGAGAACCAGTTCTTTAGATATAGATATGTATTGTTGATATGTAGGATGAGACATGGGAGAAGACTCTAGGCTGCCTTTGGTCGTTATAATTCACCCTCCCAAAGATCCTGACTGAACAGAATTCCACTCCTTCCCATATTTCTGTGAGTCAATAGTTCCCTCTGAATGTTGCTGGATTTCTGCTTTCTGGGCACATGGTGTGTATGATTATTATTTTTGTTTTTAAATTTTTGTTATTTTGGAGACAGAGTCTCGCTCAGCCGCCCAGGCTGGAATGCAGTGGCTCACTGCAACCACCGTCTCCCAGGTTCAAGAAATTCTCTTGCCCCAGCCTCCTGAATACCTGGGATTACAGGCGCCCGCCACCACACCCAGCTAATTTTTGTAGTTTTAGTAGAAATGGGGTTTCACTATGTCATCCAGGCTGATCTCAAACTCCTGACCTCTGAACTCAGCCTCCCAATGTGCTGGGGTTACAGGTGTGAGCCACCGCACCTGGCCCATTATATTATTCTTTTAACTTTTCTGTAAGTTTAGAATTTTTTAACTTATAAGTTAGAAAAAGAAAGGGTTTCTTGTATATTACATAGTTTTCTGTGGGCAAAGAACTTAGAACAATGCTTGGCTTAAGCATGCAAATAAATGTTACTTGTTCTGATTATTCTAGTGCTTTACATGGAGTATCATGTTTAACCCTGACAATGGCCTCGTGAAGTTCTGATTGTAGGATGCTGTTGGTCTCTCGCATCCCTTTTACCAGGCAGGTGCACACCTCTCCAAGCTACCGTAAAGTGTTGGTTGCTAAAGGTTTACAGCTCCCTTTTCTCTGGAAAATTGCCTTCAGTCTAACAGAAGCCGCCCCAGAGATTATACCCCACACCAACCCTGGGGGACAGTCAGCAACCAACAAGTAAGGAACAAAGAGGCATAAAAAGCTAGCCCTAGTGGTGGCCTGTAATCTCAGCACTTTGGGAGGCCGAAGCGGGTGGATCACCTGAGGTCAGGAATTCAAGACCAGCCTGGCCAACATGGCGAAACCCTGTCTCTACTAAAAATACAACAATAGCTTGGTGGTGCATGCCTGTAATCCCAGCTACTTGGGAGGCTGAGGCATGAGAATCACTTGAACCCAGGAGGTGGAGGTTGCAGTGAGCTGAGATCGCACCACTGCACTCCAGCCTGGCAACAGAGCAAGACTCCTTCTCAAAAAAAAAAAAAAAAAAAATTAGCCAGGTGTCCAGGCATCATGGTGGCCATCTATAATCCCAGCTACTCAAGAGGCTGAGGCAGGAGAATCACTTGAGCCTGGGAGGCGGAGGTTGCAGTGAGCTGAGATCGTGCCACTGCACTCCCGCCTGGGCAACAAAGCAAGATTCTGTCAAAAAAAAAAAAAAAAAAAGCTAGCCTTTGCCTTAATGTAGGATTCACTTTGTGGTTCAAGAGCTCCCTGAGGATCAAACTGAAACTGGACCCAGTTGAGACCACATCTTTACTTAGCTCCCCACTTCCCTCTTCCCTTCCTGCCTTTGGACTGTGAGTCAAAAAATAAATCACATGTCCCCCAAACCTTTATCAGGTTCTGCTGCAAGGGAACCTGACCAAGAGGAAACAGAGGCAAGGAAGGCTAAGAAACTTTCCCAGGAGCCTCCCCAGACCACACAGTAGTAGATTTGAACCCAGGTAGTCTGAGCTCATGGTCTTTACCACTGCTCTTCATATGTAAAGAACTTGTTATGTGCCAATGAAAGTTATGTCTCAAAAAACCTCAGCCCCAGCCTCCTTGCTCAGTTGCTGAGTATTGAAAGTCAATCAGACATGATTCTTAAGCTTCTCAAAGCCTGAAAACTCATGGATGAGACAAACATAGTCACCAGTGGCAGCCAGTGGTTATAGTCATAAACACACACACACACACAAACTCACATACATACACAAACATACACACATATAAGCCTACACACACATACATATACAAACCTATACAAACACATAAACATACATGGAAACCTGTACACATATGCACATTCACACATGCATATGCACCCAAGCCACACCCTTACAATGGAATCCCCTACAGCTGCTAAAAAAGAAAGTCATAGGCTGCATGTTCTAGGAATGTATTTGTTAATGGAATAAAGAAAATAAACAATATTTTGGAAATTTTAATCATATACATATATTTCTTTTTAAAATATCAGTGGAATTGTTTTTTGTTTCCTTCATGTTTCTATATAATAGGATGTTTAAAAACACATAAACACATAAAACCTGAGGCATATTAATATTTGTAGAGGATATTTATGTAGGTCAGTAAATAATAATGGTACATGTGTGAAGCAACCTATAGCCTGATGAAAAGAAAATAATATAAAACTGTAGATTATTTAGGGAAGTAGTGATATGAACATTAACTCTTTATTCATTTGTTCTAACATTATTAAGCTATGTTTTCTAATTGCTGAATTCCCACAGAATCTGTGTTCTAAAGCCCTCTCCTCTAACCTCTCAGAGCTGCTATGTTTTGCTTTCTGATTCTGCAACATCCGTTGATGGTCACAATGTTGGGCCCCTGAGTCCTGAACTGATGTGAAATGAACACTGAACCTGAAGTCCTAGGTTGCAATTATTGCTTTATAATTTACTGACATCGACTTTGGGCAAGTCACCTCTTTGAGCCTCATTTATCTCATCTGTGTATAAGTGGAGGAAATAAAATCTACTTCACAAGATTTTTGTGAAAATTAAATGGGGTAACATTTGGATGGCACCTAGCCCAGCACCTGAGAAGATGGAAATAAAGGAATGAATAAATCCATAGCCAATAAACAGCAAAGGGTGTGCACTTATTGCAAGATTCCCTGATTATTAATGCAACCCAGTAACCACAAGCAGCCATGAAAAGAAATCACAGACACTCCTTCACCTAGATTGACCAGTTAACATTTTGCAACATTTATTGTATATCTGCTGTTGTTATTATTACTAAGGGCGGGGATGGTGGCAGCAGTAGTAGTAATACAAGTAGTTTTGGTGGAAACATTTGAGAATAAGTTCCCAGACATCGATCCTTTATCCATTAGATACATTGGCATGAGTTTCTTAATAGCAAAGACATTCTTTTACATATCCACAGTAAAATAATCAAATTCAAAATTTAACAGTGATCTACAGTTTATATTCAAATTTTCTTTCTTTCTTCTCTCTCTCTCTCTTTCTCTCTCTCTCTGCCTCCCTCTTTTCTTTTGTTTTTTGAGAGGAAGTCTCACGCTGTCACCCAGGCTGGAGTGCAATGACATGATCTCAGCTAACCGCAACCTCTGCCTCCCAGGTTCAAGCAATTCTCCAGCCTCAGCCTCCCAAGTAGCTAGGATTACAGGCACCTGCCACCGCGCCCGGCTAATTTTTTACATTTTTAGTAGAGACGGGGTTTCATCATGTTGGTCAGGCTGGTCTTGAACCCCTGACCTCAGGTGTTCCACCCGCCTCAACCTCCCAAAGTGCTGAGATTACAGGCATGAGCCACCACGCCCAGCCTATATTCAAATTTTCAAATTGTCCCAATGTTGTCCTTTATAGCTTTTTTTTTTTTAAATCCAGGATCACATATAGTTGTTGTTTGTATTCTTTTCCTTTTTTGTCCTGTATTAGAAATCTTTGTCTATTCAATATCACAAAGGTTTTCTTCTGTTTTCTGTTAGAAGTTTTATAGACCAGGTGTGGTGGCTCATGCCTGTTATCTCAGCACTATGGGAGGCCAAACTGGGAGAATTGCTTGAGCCCGTGCATTCAAGACCAGCCTGGGCAACATAGCGAGACTCTGTCTCTACAAGAAAAATAAAAATTAGCCGGCCATGGTGGCACATGTCTGTGGTCGCAGCTACTTGGGAGGCTGAGGTGAGAAGATGGCTTGAGCCCCGGGTTTGAAGCTGCAGTGTAGCTGCAGTGAGCAATGATGGTGCCTCTGCACTCCAGCCTGGGTGACACAATGAGACCTCATCTCAAAATTTTTAAGTCTATAAATAGATATTTAACTTAATAGACTAAAATCTATTAATATCATTGTTTATTTGATGCTCATATTTTCCCAGTTTTCCCAGTAGAAGCCCCTTCAAGGGCAGTTTCCATAGTCTTTTGACAGATTCTCTTGATTTTTTGAACACTTTCTTATTTTCTGGCACATGATGTTTCAGGCTCATCTTGTACTTTAACTGCTCCAGCCCTGGAATCAGCATCTTTCCAAGAAGCCCTCACTCCTTTTAGTGTGAGTGGTATTTAAAAACCAAGATCTGGTTACTAGTTGCTCATTGCTATTGCGTATTACTGCTTCTAGATTCTTTTAGAAGACAGAGCTAGGAAATATCTGTCTATCTGTCTGTCTGTGTAGAGTATTCCAATTCCAGTGCAACAAATTAGATTCTTTTTTGTCTTCACTCATTTTGTATTTGTATCTGCCTTCTCCCACAGTGAGAACCCTGGCTCCCAACACATCATGTATGTACCTGTTTGCTTAGTTCTACAATACACAAAATAGTTTTAGAATTGCTGTAACTATGGTCTACAAAAAACCTAGTAAACAGAGTTTAAGTGTTTTTATTACTTTTTTTTGTTTGTTTTTTGACTGAAGATAGTTAGCCAAAGTATTGTATTCAAATGTTACTTGAATTATTTTATTTTCCATGTAGATGTGCTATTCATTTGAAATATAGTTAATTGGTTTCTGTTTGCATTCAATTTGCATTTTTTCTCATACTTGTTTTTAATATTATTTTTGAATTTATAGAGCATTAATATGGTTTTAAAATAAAAACTATATAAAATATATGCTCATAGAAGTATCAATTCCTCTTCTATTCCTTTCATTCTATTCTTATCCACCATCTACGGATAATAATATATTAATTTCTAGTATATATTTCCTATGGTTTATTTATTTATTCATTTTATTTATTTATTTATTTATTTGAAATGGAGTCTCACTCTGTCACCCAGGCTGGAGTGCAGTGGCACGGTCTCTGCTCACTGCAACCTCGCCTCCCGGGTTCCAGTGATTCTTCTGCCTCAGCCTCCTGTGTAGCTGGGATTACAGGTGTGTGCTACCACACCTGGCTAATTTTTGTGTTTTTAGTAGAGATGGGGTTTCACCATTTTGGTCAGGCTGGTCTCAAACTCCTGACCTCATGATCCACCTGCCTCAGCCTCCCAAAGTGCTGGGATTACAGGCGTGAGCCACCATGCCTGCTCGGCCATTCCTATGTTTTTTGGTTTTTTTCTTTGTTTGTTTTTCTTTAAGAAATAAGCTTTCTTACTCATATGGCATACCATATATATTCTTTTGTATTTTTTTTTTTTTTTTACTTGATCACGTACCCTGAAAATCACCCCGTATCAGTTCATAGAGATCTCCTAATTCATTTCCCTAGCTGCAGAGCACTCTATTGTGTTGATATCATAGTTTATTAAACCAATCTCCATGCCAGGGATTTTAGGTTGTTTATATACCTTTTCAATTGCAAGTAATGCTGTGTAGGTATTTTTGTATTGTTAGAGGTAGTATCAGTCTGGACACAGAGACCATGCAGTAATTAAAATAGGAGAGATTTAATATTAAGTTATTAAGCTATGATACAATAATACAAAGATGTAAAGAGAACTCGAAAGTTGGGCTGGCAAACTTCTTTATAATGGAACAGATAGTGAATATATTAGGCTTTCTAGGCCATACTTTCTCTGTCATAACCATTCAATGCTGTCTAAACAACACATAAATAAATGGACCTGGCTGCATTTCAATAACATTTTATTTACAAAACAGGTAGGGAGCTGGATTTGGCCAGAAAACTGTGGGGTTTGAACACAGTTTGCCAACCCCTGTTCTAAAGAATGCCCTAGGGTCAGCCGAGCACAGTCGCTAACACATGTAATCCCAGCACTTTGGGAGGCTGAGGCAGTCGGATCACCTGAGGTCAGGAGTTTGAGACCAGCCTGGCCAACATGGTGAAACCCCATCTCTACTAAAAATACAAAAATTCACCGGGTGTGGTGGCGGGCGCCTGTTATCCCAGCTACTTGGGGGGCTGAGGCAGGAGAATCACTTGAACCCGGGAGGCAGAGGTTGTAGTGAGCTGAGATTGTGCCACTGCACTCCAGCCTGGGCAATAGAGCCAGACTCCATCTTAAAAAAAAAAAAAAAAAAAAAAAGAAGGGCCTAGGGAGACTGCCAAAGGCAGCACAGAGCTGGAAAGGAAACCCCCACCTTCCTAATGAGGTTAAAACCTAGTTGAAGAAGGTGTGGTTGCAGCCTACTAGATAGCCCAGCATTTGCTGGGTTCCCTGGTCCAAAGTTTGCCATAGCAGGAAACAACCTCAGGCACACAGGTACACAGAGATGGTCAGGGACCCACCTGGAGCCACTTAGTGTACCCACCAGGAGGCCCACAGCAAGCTGGTCATTAGGCCTAGGCAGGGAATTGGAGGTTGCTAAGGGACCAAGCACTCAGGTACCACCTGGGTCCACCACTGTCCTTCTACTGCCTCCACTCCCACCCCAGCCATTGCCCCACTGACAGGCTGTGCAGTAGGGGAAGTAAAAGCAAAATGCAGCTTACCAGAACTAGAAATTGCCCCCATTTCTCCTGCAATGTCCCTCCAGTGCCCTCTACTGACAAAGGTTAATGAACATCGTGCTCTCTGTTGAGGAGAAATGCTTGAAGAGTCCAGTTCATTACCCCAGAGCAGGTACTGAAGGGTAAATTTGAAGCTGAAGTCTCCTAGGGTAAATTCTTAAAAGTTGAATTTGTGAATCAAAGGGTAAAAAAATACTTTGCTAGGTTTTGATGAATTTCTTTCAGTGTGGTTGTATCGTTCTGCATTGCCACCAAAATGTATGAGAATGCTATGTGTTATTTTACAACTTCATCAACGGCATTGCCAAACTTTTTACTTTCTGTCACTATGATTGTTATGAAATCTTATCTCATTGTAGTTTTTTGTTTGGTTTGGTTTTTTTAGATGGAGCCTCGTTCTGTTGCCAGGCTGGAGTGCAGTGGCGCAATCTCTGCTCACAGCAACTTCCGCCTCCCGGGTTCAAGCAATTCTCCTGCTTCAGCCCCAACTGGTAGCTGGGATTACAGGCACGCACCACCACACCTGGCTAATTTTTGTATTTTTAGTAGAGATGGGGTTTCGCCATGTTGTCCAGGCTGATCTTGAACTGCTGACCTCAGATGATCCACCCGCGTCAGCTTCCCAAAGTGCTGAGATTACAGGTGTGAGCCACCCAGGCTGGCATCATTGTAGTTTTAATTTACATTTCTTTTACTATTTGTAAAGTTGAACATCTTTTCATATGCTAAGAGTCTCCTCTTGTGATAAACTATTCGTATCTTTCATCCACCTCCCCACAGGGTTAGGAAATAAGTTCTTAAACTAGCTTAAAGCAGGAAAAAAATCAGGTGAGCTACAACTGCAAATTACTTATGAAGGAATAGTTTTGTAGAACTCTTGTTGTTTTTCCTAAGTTAGACACCAAAGTTTAATATAAGTTCAGTTTATTTCAATATTTACTGAAACCTTCCTGTGGGCCAGGCACCAAAGCTGCAGAGGAAGACACAATCCTTGCTATTAATGAGCTTAGTGTGAAAACAGACATACAAAATCACTTGGGAAATAGTAGAACATAGTGATTAAAATCTGAATTAGGGTATGTATGGACTTGGGTCCAAATTCTGACATTGCCATTTGAACAACTAGCTGTGTAATATTGGATGCGTCATTTCTATCTTTGTGCTTCAGTTTCTTAAGGCAGAGATAATAATATATATCATAGAAATATTATAAGAACTACATGAGATAGTATATGAAAACAACTGGGCCGGGCGCGGTGGCTCAAGCCTGTAATCCCAGCACTTTGGGAGGCTGAGACGGGTGGATCACAAGGTCAGGAGATCGAGACCACCCTGGCTAACATGGTGAAACCCTGTCTCTACTAAAAAAAATACAAAAAAACTAGCCAGTCGAGGTGGCGGGCGCCTGTAGTCCCAGCTACTCGGGAGGCTGAGGCAGGAGAATGGCGTAAACCCGGGAGGCGGAGCTTGCAGTGAGCTGAGATCGGGCCACTGTACTCCAGCCTGGGCGACAGAGCGACACTCCGTCTCAAAAAAAAAAAAAAGAAAACAACTGCATGCTGCTTGGTATATAGTAAACATACGACAAATGTTAGCTAATAATAATAAATTAAAATGAAATATTGAGTAGTGACAAAATGATAGAGGAATTTACAGCACACCATGATTGCATATATAAGCTTATTTCATTTTAGCTGAATTTAAATATATTATAACTAAGCCATGAAAAATGTTTAAACCATATGCAATTGTTCAGTTTAATAGGAGAATCTATCAGAGTTTTTCATATAATTTTCTTAGGTATTGATAAAAGTAAATACTTAACAGAAAAATCACAAATACTGAAACAACTAATCTGACATTCTGAATTGTTAATTATATAAATAAAGTGTTAGTAAAAAATACAAGACTATAGAATTTACATATTATTGTCATCCTTATTGACAGTTTTAAGGAACTCAAAGATATACTTCAAGCAGGGAATTACAGTTCAATTGATTGATTCATTTACTAATTTTCTTTCAGTCTCTCTTTATTACCTAACATATACTTAGAAACAAAAGTTGAATTCAAGGGTTACATTTAATGTAAAATATAAAATATCAAATGTTTAAATATATTTAATAACAATGCTCAACTCACTATGATACAATGTTTTCTAACTTTTCTACTTCAACAGTCAGCAGAAATTTTCTAGGAACCATAATCTTAAATATTCCAAATGTACAGCTATGTGCACAGCCATTAGAAAAAACAATTGTTTTATTTTACCTAGTTACAAATACTCCAGATATACCTTTGAGGGAAATTAACAAAACACAGAAAAGCAAAAATGAATAAAAGTCACATATAATCCTATCACTTGGAGATAAACTGTATTTGGGTTGTACCATAGTAAAACAAGTATTTATTGACTTCCCATTCTATGAAGGTGTATTAGTCCATTTTCACACTGCTATAAAGATACTACCTGAGATTGGGTAATTTATAAAGAAAATAAATTTAATTGACTCACAGTTCTGCATGGCTGGGGGAACCTCAGGAAACTTAAAATCGGGCAGAATGGGAAACAGGCACTTCTTACATGGTGGCAGGCGAGAGAGAGAGAGAGAGAGAGAGAGAGAGGAGGGAGAAAGAGGGGAGGAGAGAGAGAGAGAAAACTGTTAAACACTTATGAAAGGATCAAATCTTGTGAGAACTCACTATCACAAGAACATCATTGAGGAACTACCCTCATGATCCAATCACCTCCCACCAGGTCCTGCCCTTGACATGTGAGGATTATGGGAATAACAACTGAGATGAGGAGATTTGGGTGAGGACACTAATCAAACCTTATTAGCAGGTCCAGGTTTTGGGGGTTTTTTTTGTTTTTTTTTTTTTTGAGATGGCGTCTTGCTCCGTCACCCAGGCTGGAGTGCAATGGCACGATCTCGGCTCACTGCAATCTCTGCCTCCTGGGTTCAAGTGATTCTCCTGTCTCAGCCTCCCAAGTAGCTGGGATTACAGGTGTGCACCACCATCCCTGGCTAATTTTTTGTATTTTTAGTAGAGACAGGGTTTCACCATGTTGGCCAGGCTAGTCTTGAACTCCTGACCTTAGATGATCCACCCATCTCAGCCTCCCAAAGTGCTGGGATTACAGGTGTGAGCCACCATGCCCTGCCAGCAGGTCTAGTGTTAAACTCTGGAACTGCTTGGGCCACAGGGAGGTGGGAAGCAACTCTGTACTATTAGACTGTTCCCTCCTGAACAATTGATGGCCCCTGCTCTCTGGGCTGGAGACTTGGTCTGTAAAATCTGCTCTAGAGTGTCAAGCTACATTCCACATAAAATAGTTGTGTGTGTGATGATGTTCTGGGGACCCAGATGGCCATGCACAGCACTATGTAGTAACACAGACTCTATATTCTAAAAACACACATGCAATGATAACTTTTTCCAGTGGTTGTCATCTTTGATTGGGTAAGGAAAGCTAGTGCTCATTGAAATTTTGACAGAACTTAAAGCCCTGCTTGGTTTTAAAGAAACTTGATGTCCAGAACCGAACTCATAAGACACAAATTATCAGGTGATTATTCTTGTGTAAAAAGTGATCTTCTTTACTAAAGCATTTCCTGCTATCACTTTTTAATTCTACTACATTAACTGAACAGGGGCTACTGTGAGTTATTTTCAGTTGAGTTCCACAAATATACTGAAATTTTCTATTTAATTCACCAGAAATTTATTTAAAGTATAAATTTTCAAGAGCATACTAACTGTATACACCTCTAAATATCTCAAAATTTGACTCTTGCTTGGAACTGTGGAGGAATCCAGCTCCATGATTTAGCCATACATTGTTTCTATTAACATTAGTTCCATTAGAATGCAACTCAATAGATGGGGTTTCCAAACTTTGCTAAAATTGCATCGGTTTGCAAAATAGCTATAGTTGTGTTAAGATTCATATCTTCCATAACAGCTTCTAATATTAAACTTTAAAGATCTTAAATTGCTTTAGGTATGTTATTGGGTTCTCAGATAGGTCTTTCTTGTCATCTTTTCTCCTGTGGTCCCCTGTCATTATTGGTATCAAAACCATCTCATTGACTGACTTCTTCAAATGTCAGCATAAAAGAAAATATGAGTCCAAAATGTGCCTGTCACCTTGCAGGCTCATTCTCTGAGAAATATTTTTTGGTGTATATTTAATTAAATAAAAGGCATAGTGCTCAGCAATTGCCATTTTGACATGTTCTATTTAAGGATTGATTGCATTTTCTAATATTTGTGAATGATATTAATATTCAAAAAAGAATCACAAGGGACCATCTGGAGTTGAACAGAAAGCAAGTGTTCAATAAATGACTCTCAGAAAGACTGCCCAACAGTTTTATATGTTGCTGGTGAGAATGTAAACTGGTAGAACCTTTCTGGAAAGCAATTTCACAATCTATGATTTGATTTATTAATTCCATCTGGGAATTTATCATAAGGAAATAATAAAAGATGCAAAGATATTTGTGCAGAGATGCTGATCATGTTAATTGGTAAAATGGTGAACATTAGAAAAAACTTAAAACCCCTCCATATGGGATTGGTTAAATAAATATATTACCTCCTTTTGATGGTGTGGCTGAGACTGCTTGCTGGTTGCTCAATCTCCATTCTCCTCTTCTTTGTTGTTAACAAGACTCTATATTATTGGAGCCAGCAACGTGCTTATTAATAATACCGTATTTCACAGCTTTCCTTTCAGGCAAAGATGACCAATGAGATAAGAGCAGAAGTCCTTGGGTGGGACTTCCAATTGCCTGGATCCAGCTGCCTCGATCACTGATATGATGGCTGAAACTCCAGAAGTCATTTGGGGACCATAAGAGAAAAGCCAGGAGAATTGTAGTGACTGCAATTCTGACATTCTTGAACCACTGTAACAAAGCCAACAACTGCCTCCTTCCAGATGTCTCATTATATGAGAAAAAAATAATAAACCATTATATGCTTATGCTAGTCAGACTCTGTTAATAGCAGCCAAACACAAGTCCTAACTGACACAGATGAAACATTTTGCAACCATTTAAAATTATCCTTCTAAAAAAATAGAGTATAATATTAAATGAGAAGAATATAAAACTCTGTATGTGGTATGTCTATTTTGTTATTAAATTAGACATATACATTATATGTGAATGAATACGGTTATGTAATACATTAAAATGTTGATAGTGCCTGTCTCAGGATTATGTTTTTTTGTTTTGTTTTGTTTTTCTTTTTTTTTTTTGAGATGGAGTCTTGTTTTGTTGCCCAAGTTGGAGTGCAGTGATGTGATCTCAATTAACTGCAAGCTCTGCCTCCTGGGTTCACACCATTCTGCCTCAGCCTCCTGAGTAGCAGGGACTTCAGGTGCCCGCCACCACACCCAGCTAATTTTTTGTATTTTTAGTAGAGACGGGGTTTCATCATATTAGCCAGGATGGTCTCCATCTTCTGACCTTGTGATCTCCCTCCTCGGCCTCCCAAAGTGCTGGGATTATAGGCGTGAGCCACTGCACCGGGCCAGGATTATGGGTTATTTATTACGATGATGATTTATGCTTTTTTATGTTTTTAAATTTTTCAACATTGAGAATTTTTTTAAAATGGTTTTGAGATTGCCCAATATGTACACATGACTGGTGGGAGGGTAAATTGGTTACATCTACACATTTTGTAGAGCAATTGGTCAACATAGATTAAAAGTTTTTATAGTTTTTGTAACTTTAGCTTTCTATTTTCACTCTGAGGTGTCTATCTTGGTAAAATGAGACCCAAACAAAGAATTATGCACAGTGATGTTTACTATAACATTACGTATGATACCAAAAAAATAAAAACAAACTCAATGTCCAACATTAGGAAAGTAGTTAAATAAATTATGATATATCCATCTTATTTTACAAATACATAGAAGTTCCAGTTAAAGCAAGAGAGAGAACAGTTTGGAACTAGGTTTAGAGTTATTTACATATTTTCAAATCCCCCCACTCACTGAGGCAACAATGGGCATAAGTGGAAGGGAGGGGTAGAAGACATTTCTACCCTCAGCTGGAATTAGATTTCTGTCTGAATTTCTGTCTGAATTTCTGTCTGAATCCACAGCAGGAAAACAGCTTTGTTGAGAAAGAATAATTTTCTTTTCTTTTTTTTTTTTTTTTGGAGACAAAGCTTTGCTCTGTTGCTCAGGCTAGAGTGCAGTGGCTTGATCTCGGCTTAATGCAACCTCCGCCTTCTGGGTTCAAGCGATTCTCCTGCCTCAGCCTCCTGAGTAGCTGGGACTATAGGCGTTCACCACTATGCCCAACTAATTTTTGTATTTTTAGTAGAGACGAGGTTTTGCCACATTGGCCAGGTTGGTTTCTAACTCCTGAGCTCAGGTGATCTGCCTGCCTTGGCATCCCAAAGTGCTGGGATTATAGGCAGGAGCCATCGGGCCCTGCTGATAGAAGAGTTTTCTAAACTGTGTTAATAGGTTAAGGGCCAATCCTAGCAGAGTCAGTTCTTCAAGTTCTTTCTCTCTGCCATGGAAATGAGACCTCGAGATTGCCTGTCTAGGTAAAAGGAAGATATGGTGTTCTGGGTAGGGAATCTTGGAGTTCACCCCTTCCTGCTCAGAGGAAGCAGCAGCTGCCCTTTGTGCTCCACATCATGGGCCCTTGGCTTGCTTATGGTGCTGTGGAGCCTAAGTAGAGGCTGCCATTCGTGATGATAGTCCGTAGCAGGGCCCACCTTTCATCTCTCCATTTCTCTGCAGCCACACTGGGGAGTGGGTTGGATACCTCAACCAATGGAAAATGAGAGTCAGTGAATAAACCTCCCAGCCTCCCATCCTTTGGAAGCACCATTCTGAGGTGCCTTCTACCCAACATCCCCAGAAGTTCCCCAGTAGGATTGAACCCCAATTGCCCAATGGCAACTAGTGCAACAACACACTTTGTTTTAGCTTTTCCTTCTTTCCCATTTCTTCCCTGTTCTCACTTCCGCACTTTTGTTTCCTGGAATCACCTTCCAAGTAAACAACCAGCATCCCGATCCTTACCTCCGGCTCTGCTTTCAGAGAAAACCAACCAAGACAAATGGAGTGTGGGAAAAAAGAAAAGGCAGAGAGGTATGGACTCTCTTTTGCCCCAGTTTGGAAGCTCAGAAACATTGAGTAATAACTCATTTCACCTGGTATATTTGACCAACATTTTTTTAATTTAAAAAATGAATGAAAAAGAATATAGCAGAGTGCATATCATGTAGAAAGGGGAAGTACTGTCTCATGAAACTTCTGTTTCAGCAATGTGTATGTGTCAGTTTGTGTGTACAGCATCACAGTGTATGATGTATTTCTTCCTGTGGATTGTGGTATAAAAGCTGCAAGGCCTTTTTTGGTATCAAGAGGATACTAGGCTGGGTGCGGTGGCTCACACCTGTAATCCCAGCACTTTGAGAGGCTGAGGCAGGTGGATCACCTGAGGTCAGGAGTTCGAGACCAGCCTGGCCAACATGGTAAAACCCCATTTCTACTAAAAATACAAAAATTAGCCAGGCATGGTGGTGCACGCCTGTCATCCCAGCTACTCGGCAGGCTGAGGCAGGAGAATCATTTGAACCCAGGAGGCGGAGATTGCAGTGAGCAGAGATCATGCCACTATACTCCAGCCTGGGTGACAGAGCAGACTCTGTCTCAAAAAGAAAAAAAAAAGGCCAGCCGTGGTGGCTCATGCCTGTAATTCCAGAATGTTGGGAGGCTGAGGCGAGTAGATCACCTGAGGCAGTAGTTCGAGACCAGCCTGGCCAACATGGTGAAACCCCGTCTCTACTAAAAATACAAAAATTAGCCAGGTGTGGTGGTGGAGGTTGCAGTGAGCCGAGATTGTGACACTGCACTCCAGCCTGGGGACAGAGCGAGACTCCGTCTCAAAAAAAAAAATTAAAAAAAAAAATAAGAGGATACTTCATGGGTACAAGGAATCTCTGTTGTGCTCCAACAAAATCACCTAAATATTTAAAAGAAAATTTTAATGACATGGGAAACTACTTGTGAACCATTACCAAGATTGGGACTTGAAGTAATTGGTAACAATTTTAAAATATTGAATACAGTATAACTTCAACTATGTGAGAAAAAAACTGAAGTAAAAAACCAGAATCATTCACTCATTTCGAGCTTTATCCAATAGGTAGATTCCAAAAACACCATACACAATTTAAAGGTACCTAAATTAAAACAGGTGTTCTCATATGAAATCAGTCAAAAGCAGGAGACATATTTTTAAAGGTCACAATGAAGCTATTTTTTTTCTGGCTTTTCAAATATGAACAATAATTAATGATTTGGCTTGGGGGAAAGGTGAGCCAAAAAAATCATGTTCATTCACGAAGCAAACAAACAAAAGGAGACTGCTGATACCTAGTGAACCACAGACAACAGCGAGCCTATCAACAGCTGTGTTACTCTGTCTTTCCTAGGAGAAGAATTCTTCCTTTAGAAGGCGGCCATGTGCATTATCAGCACTAAAATCTTGGTCACCCAGAAAGTATTGTTCTGAGGGTGTTCGCACTGAGCATGCCCTGGTAAGTGCTTTGACTGACAACCTCCCGGTGGACTCCAAGGTTGAGAGGCTTCTATTACTCACAAAGCCAGAGGCCTGCCTGAGCTACTGACATTTTCCAGTCATTGCCGCATTTCACAATCTCCATAAGGAGCAGGACTCTGCAGCTCTTGTTCCACAGTGCCTGGAACTGTGTTTTCTATGCAGAAAAAAAAACATTTGTTGGATGAAAGAGGGAAAGTGAAGGGAGCACCTGTTCACAGATCCTAATCTTAGAAACATTCACGGCCCCAGGGAGGAAGAGGAGGCTGAGTGATGGTCCTGCTTCACGTGGCTGCAACAGCTGTATACCTTCCAGCATTGGCTGCGGCCTCCTGGGCACTTCAGAAATGGCAGTTTCCACAGATTCTGCTGCCATCACCCATTTAAAAGACAATTGTGTGTGTCTGCTTTGAAAAAGGTGTGATGTTTTCACTGCTTTATTGAAAAAGCTTGTAAGTTAATTGTTAATATGTTGAGTGGAAGGCATATATAGCAAAATATTAATCATGTTTTCTTCTAGATAATGGGGTTATAGGAGGCAGCAAAATTACTAGGAATTTTAGCTCCTGTTTTGGGCCAAGCCTTGAACCAATTTTCTATATACTAGAACTATATTTTATTCTTGCATTAACCAGTGAGACAGGTACCATTATCCTTATGTCATAGAGGAGGAACATGCTTAATATTATTAATAGTGAATAGTTATTGAGCAAAAAAGATGAGCCAAAAATAATGCTGAAAGCTCTACTTACTTCTCACAACAACCCTATGAAAAAAGTACATTTATCTTCCCGTTTTACAGATAGGGAGAAGTAAGGCTTTAGAGAGGCGACTTGAGAGGAAAGAGTGAACAGAGCAGGTCTGGTGGTTTACTCCTTGCTCTCTCCAAAGGAACCATGATTGGCCCTTCGTCAACCCTTAGGAATGTGGCCCTGAGAGAGTTCTTCATGTTATAATTGATAATTTTGCTTTATACATCTGATCAATGGACCATGTCTTACTTGCTTGTCAAGTTGCCTTGCACTAACGTCAAGGTTGTTGATGTGCACCTGGTTTCATTGTTGGGTCCTGGATTTTGGTTGCCATGGTAGATTGTGTAGCAGGATGTTCCTATGCTAAGAGCCTCTGTAGAAAGACCTTAGACCCTGAGACTCAAAGAGTCTTCCCTGGGCAGAGACATTTCACCCTTGTCTCTGAATTTCCCTGCCAGAGAGATCACTCTTGTGCGGCCTTGGATGAAAAATAACTGTGGAAGCCTGTGCCTGACCTCTCTGGACTCTAAAGATGCTTTTGCTGATGCTTTTTCCTGATGCTTTTGCTCTGTATCCTTTGCTACAGAAAATCCT